AGATCCACCTGCCTCTCTCTCCCCGAGTGCTGGGATTAAAGGCATGAGCGACCACACAGCAGCCAGAAATCTCTTTTTAAATGAGAATTATAAATGCACCCCAAATGTTATTCATCGTAAGGGGGAAACGAGAGACTGTGCTTTATTTGCAAAGACCCTGCAAGTTCCAGTGCGGCCTCCTGATAATCTGGGCTCTAAAGTGATGAAAGCCTCAGGGAAAAGGACAGGAAGTAGCCATGCATTCGCCCATGTGTGCTGCTACAGAAAAATCATACAAAGAATCTTTTATAAAGATTATCTGCTCTTGAAGTTGGGAGATAGCTCTGTAGTGAAGTGCTTGCATTGTGTACACAAGGACCTGAGTTCAATTCCTATAACCCATGTTAAAAAGCTGACCATGCCAAGTGTACCACAAGGACATGTGCTCAACTATGTTCATAACAGCATTGTTTGTCATAGCCAGAACCTGGAAGCAACCTAAATGCCCCTCGACCCAAGAATGAATTAGGAAAATGTGGTACATTGATACATTTACACAATGGAGTACTACACAGCAGAAAAAACATAATGACATCTTGAAATTTGAAGACAAATGGATGGATCTAGAAAACATCATATTGAGTGAGGTAACCCAGACCCAGAAAGACAAATATCATATGTACTCACTCATAAGTGTCTTTTAGACATAAAGCAAAGAAAAACCAGCCTATAATTCACAATCCCAGAGAATCTAGACAATGATGAGGATCCTAAGAGAAATGCATGGATTTAATCTACATGGGAAGTAGAAAAAGACAAGATCTCCTGAGTAAATTGGGAGCATGGGGACCATGAGAGAGGGTAGAAGGGGGGGAAGGAAGGGGAGCAGAGAAAAATATATATCTCAATAAAAACAATAGAAAATTTAAAAAAAAGAAAAACCCACACTTGCCTTATAAAGAAGAGATGCAATTATTCACATGGGGGGAATTGGTAGGGAGGAGGAGGAGAAAGAGACTTTTAGTCAAGTCATAAAGTCAATAATAAATGTGTTAGTTATATACAAAAAAAGCTGAGCACACACATGCCCAAAAGAGAACACCAAGTTGAGAGGGTAGGATATCAATCCACACACCTTCAAATACCTGATTTGTGACAAAGAAGCAAAAAATATCAAATGGAAAAAAGAAAGCATATTTAACAAATGGTGCTGGCATAACTGGATATCAACATGTAGAAGAATGAAAAGAGATACATACCTATTACCATGCACAAAACTCAAGTCCAAATGGATCAAAGACCTCAACATAAAGCCAGACACACTGAACCCTATAGAAGAGAAAGTGGAAAGTACACTTGAACGCATTGGCACAGGAGACCACTTCCTAACTAGAACCCCAGTAGCACAGACATTGAGAGAAACAATTAATAAACAGACTTCCTGTAACTTAAAAGCTTCTGTAAAGCAAAGGGCAAGGTCAACAAGACAAATGACAGCCTACAGAATGGGAAAAGATCTTCACCAACCCCACATCAGACAGAGGTATGATCTCCAAAATATACAAAGAACTCAAGAAATCGGTCATCAAAAGAACAAATAATCCAATAAAAAAAATGGAGTACAGACCTAAACGTAGAACTCTCAACAGAGGAATCTAAAATGGCTGAAAGACACTTAAGGAAATGTTCGACATCCTTAGTCATCAGAGAAATGCAAATCAAAACAACTCTGAGATTCTATCTTACACCTGTAAAAGTGGCCAAGATCAAAAACACTGGTGACAACTTATACTGGAGAGGTTGTGGGGAAAAGGGAACACTTTGCTGATACCAGCTTGCATTGCTGATGGGAATGCAAGCTGGTACAGCCCTTTTGGATGTCAGTGTGGCAATTTCTCAGAAAATTAGGAAACAACCTTCCTCAAGACCCAGTAATACCACTTTTGAGTATATATCCAAAGGATGCTCAATCGTGCCACAAGGACATGTGCTCAACTATGTTCATAGCAACATTGTTTGTCATAGCCGGAACCTGGAAACAACCTAAATGCTCCCCAACTGGAGAATGGATAAAAAAAAATGTAGTATATTTACACAATGGAGTACAACACAGCAGAAAAAATATAACATCTTGAATTTTGCAGGAAAATGGATGGAGCTAGAAAACATCATCTTGAACTCACTTGTACTCACTCATAGGTGGTTTTTAAACATAAAGCAAAGAAAAACCAGCTTACATATCACAATCCCTGAGAACATAGACAACAATGAGGACCCCAAGGGAGACATACATAGATCTAATCTACATGAGAAGTAGAAAAAGACAAGATCTCCTGAGTAAATTGGAAGAATGGGAACCTTGGGAGAGAGTTGAAGATGAGAGGAGAGGCAGGGAGGGGAACATAGAAATATGTAGAGCTCAATAAAAATAAAATTTTAAAAAAGAACTTCCTTTGGGTGATCTGTTCATATTTAGCTTATCATGGCTGGCTTCTACAGAAAACAAAAATTCCAACATAGCTATTCTCATTCAAAGCACTGGACACCTGGGTTCCATACTGAGTTCCAAGCCAAAATGAACTACTTGGTAAGATTCTGTTTCAAAAAACCAGGGGCCCAGTGAGGTTGCTCAGTGAGTAATGGCTCTTGATCCGGACACCTGAGATCTAGTCCCAGGACCCCCATAGAGCAAGGAGAAAACCGACCCCAAAAACTTGTCCTCTAACCTATCCATACTCACAGAAGTATGCATAATCTCATGACTTGTGTGTGTGCTCATGGATACACACACACACACACACACACACACACACACACACTAAAGGGAAAATCACCATGGGCTGGCAGAGTGGGGATGCACCTAGACCCATGGAGTGGCAGGCAGACTGACCTACATAGCCCAAGGCCTGGCTGATAGCCATGGTCAGTCAAAAAGGCATTAGCTTGAGGGAAGGATTAAGAGGGGGTTGCTGAGTGAGGAAAGAGGATAAAAGATGGAGAAGATATTGATCCGAATAAATTAAACACATGTATGAAACTGTCAAACAAATACGATCAATAAAAACTAAAAGAAGTTTTAGAAGCCCATGGTGATTAAATAACTCTATTAAATAAGTAGGCCATGGAAGAATTGAAAAAGCTTTCTTTGCAGCTTCATGAAGCATCTGATTTGGTGAGTCCTCAAGCTGTCTGTCCACCCCCAGACAGACAGTCTATGGCTCTGGGATTCCTTGTGCTATTGCAGGCACTCCCTTTGTATCCTTACTCTAGCTGTAAATGGTGGTGGGATTTCTCTGCCTGTGGATTAGGTTTATCATCTTAGATCCAAGGAGTCATTTGGCAGGTTATCTTTCACACTGGGTTCATTTAGCACACTATATTACTAGGCGTCTGTGTGCCTGTTGCCACTGCTGGAGATTTGGTTATACAAATATGATTAATTTTCTAGTCACCTATGCTGGTGGACAGTTGTGTTGCTTCCTCTTTCGATTTGATCAAAAATAAAACTGCAGTGGACATCTGTGCACACACTGTTTTCTCATTGTGCACTGGTGATGGAGGAAGGTCATTGGTTAATTTTAATAAAGAAACTGCTTGGCCTCATAGGTTAAAACATAGGTGGGAGGAGTCAACAGAACAGAATGCTGGGAGGAAGAGGAAATGAGCTCAGACTCGACAGCTCTGCTCTCTGAAGACGCAGACGCGATGGAGCAAGCCGCCAGGTCAGACATGCTGAATCTTTCCCAGTAAGCGCACCTAGTGGTGCTATGCAGATTATTAGAAATGGGTTAGGCAAAATATGAGAATTAGCCCATAAGAGGCTAGAGCTAGTGGGCCAAGCAGTGTTTAAAAGAATACAGTTTGTGTGTTGTTATTTCGGGGCATAAGCTAGCCAGGCGGCCAGGGTCCTGGGGACGCAGCCCTGCCGCTCCTCCAATTACAACACATTGGGGATGAATACACTGCTGTGCCTGTGTGGATGTCACAGGACAACTGTGTGGACTCACACCTCTTCATGGAATCTGGAGATTGAACTCAGGATCTTAGACTTGTATGACAGGCACTTGACTGAGTGAGACATCTTGACAGTGTGTGTGTGTGTGTGTGTGTGTGTGTGTGTGTGTGTGTGTGTAATTTTAGGATAGTGTCTGCTATCCTAAAATTTGAGATAGTTGAGAACCTCAAACTTGGTATATGTTGCTGAGAATAGAAGGCCTTGAACTTCTGATCCTTCTCTACTTCCTTAGTGCTGAGATTACAGGTATGCACACCCATGTCAAATTTATAGAACACTGGGTTTCCCGCTTGCTAGGCACGCACTGCGTCATCCTCACTACAAACCTCAGGCTGTGAACACATTTTCAGTTTTCATCTGTTCCCAGGAGTTGGACCTTGAGCCACAGGGTGGGTGCAGATTTTGCATTATTGGAAATTGCCAAAGCATAGTCCACAATAGTAGTTTGGGGCACACTTCTGCCGACAAAACGAAAGACTGCTCTTACTTTCTGCCAGCGCCCCACTTAAGGCTGCCCGTTTCTTACCTCATTTCTCTAGGGTGGACATATTTTCAGGAGCCATTCATGAATCTCCTTCTGCAAAGCACCTGCTATGTATTTTGTCATAGGCTCATTATTTAGATCCACTGTGTGACTGAGCTGAAATTCATGTATTGAAAGCCCTGTTGATATGTCTGATTGCACTAATTTTTAATAATTTCTACTATATAAAAATAACCAAGATTTTTCCTTCTCTGTTCAATGAACCAGTATCCTGATCTTGTGGGCCACCTTTGGGAATTTCTGTTGGAATGAATGAGATCCTACCCAACTCTTAGAAGCCATTCTGATTCCTGCATCACGGGCACCCTTATGACATCATCACGGGCTCCCTTCCCTCACTCTTCCTGCCAGCCTCCTGGCAGGAGGAGTACAGACCTGAGATGATGGCTCCATCGTAACCCCAGCCATGGGGGAACTTAAGGGATTGCAGGCCTGGGAGATTTGAACCATCTGTCTCCAATCATGGGCTCTCGATGCAGTGTAAGTTTTAGGCTATTGAAGGTGGATTTCTAGCTAATCGGGAAATAAGTGCTGTGTCTGGGGATGCTGGGGAACTGAGGAAACTGGGCATGTGTTTAAATGGTTATGTAATTGTTCAACTAATAACCCACTCACAGATTTCTCCTTTAATTCTGGTTATAGAAGGGGGATGGTTGGTGTGATATCGAAGTTGAAAAAGTCTACACAATCACTGAGTTATCACAGCCAGCAACAGAAAAGAAACCAAAAAAGGAAAGAAAGGCAATTCTTCCATCCTCTTCAAAGGTAGTGGTGCCAGGCCTCAAGGTTAGAGGTAGCCTTGATCTGCCTTATTTTTGACCTATGCCACCCAGACTTACGGTGGTTTTCTCCACAGGATGGTCATGGAATTTATGCTCCACACAGATCTGTGTGAGCAAGAGGTTGGGATGCTGACTCGGAGCAATCATCAGAAACCACTTTCCCTACCCAAGATGGGTCGGACGAGACTGAGAATAATGCCCTGTGAACTTGGGGGTGGGGTGTGAGATCTGTGTTTGGGGAACAGATCTAAACAGAAGAACTCGTATACCCAGGATTGAGTAAGAGTGTGGATATGGTTGTGTTAGCTGAAGTTTAAGGTTTCGGAAGTCAAAGTGAGAAACAGATGAGGTCAGGACCCCAAGTTGTGTGAGAAGATATGTTTAATATTAGGACCTAACCAGGGGAGGGGACATTGGTGACTGCAGTAGAGAGGGGAAGGCAGAGAGGAAAGAATGTCAGCTTCCTGAAAATTCCTGCTAGGAAACCCCAGTCTCAGATTGTGGCCCTGCCCAGAAAGAGTCTATAAATTACAAGGCTCTTGCTCTAGATTGGCCAGCCAGGTTCATAGATGCCTAAGTGAGGGGCTGAAAGGATGGGTCAGTGGTTAAGAGCACCAGCTGCTCTTCCACAGGACCTGGGTTCAGTTTCCAGTACCCACATGGCAGTTCACACTTGCCTGCTCCTCCATTTCCTGGGGACCTGATGTCCTTTTCTGACCTCTGAGAACACCAGGTGCACACATGGTATGAACATACATGCAGGCCCAACACTCATACATATAAAATTAAAAAGAAAAACTTACCAGAATAAATGGGGACATAGGGACTTAGGGTTAAGATGACATAAAGTGTCTTTGCCTGATATGGCAGAAAGGGGACCAGGCTCTGGTAGTAGGGCCCTCCTTGCCTTCGTGGCTCACTCTGTTGCCCAGTCCGGTGCTCAAGAACTTTAGAGGCATCCATGGTTAGTGACACAGAACCAGGGCATCATCTGAGAATATGATCTTCTTACTATAGCTTTATTCTTTTCTCATGTAAATCTATATAATGTACTTTGATCACATACTCTCTTTTGCTCTCTCTTCCCCTCCTGTGTGTGTGTGTGTGTGTGTGTGTGTGTGTGTGTGTGTGAGACTGCATGAGAAGGGACTGAGGAGGGGCTTATTTATATAGTTCAAGATGTAATTGATCAGTATCTATACCCTTGAAAACTGAAACCATTCTTCACCTTACACCCCACAACAGCCACATCGACAGCCTCCATCTAAGACAGTACTGAAAGCCAGCAGAAAGATCCAGGCCTGGTGGCGAGGCACCCTGGTGCGACGCACACTGTTGAAGGCTGCCCTCAGTGCTTGGATCATTCAGTGCTGGTGGAGAAAGATACTGGCCAGAAAGTTGGAGAAGAGACGCATGGAGGCTCTGCACCAGATGGTACAAAAAACAAGTGCCTGTGTCACTATTCAGTCGTGGGTCCGCATGCAGCACGCCCGTCAGGTCTACCTCCATTTGCTCAGTGCCATCCGAATCATCCAGGTGTCGTGGCGCTGGTATAACTGCCATACCCGTGGCTTTTTCCAGGGTAGCTACGAACTTACAGGGAACCAACTAAGTCTTCAGCTTGACATCTTTCTGGGATCCCAGATTTGTCGTATATCAGACTGCATACCCTTGCCAATAAAGAACTGATCAGGTCTTCTAACAGACGGCACTGGGTCTTTGTTACACAACCCACTTGTCATCCCTGTCCAGCAGCAAATCCACACAATGACACCACACAAGCTTGCTCTGACAGCAGCAGCATGTGTCTAAGCTCCCAGGACGGAGGATGTCAGAGCCCTGGACCACAACAGTGCCTGTGTCTGCTTAGCAGTGGACTGGAGAGTTGGGATAAAGTCACCATGAACGCTGCTAGACGCCCGCTCCCCTTAACTGGTCAATATGCCACTGTCTTGTCATTCTTTGAGGTCTCCCTGCCTACTTAGAACAAACCTGACAGCCCTGCCCACGTCCACAACCATGCATGGTGTAGCCACATCCTTCAAACTCTCCCAGGGTCCTCTTGGACACTCGGCCAGTCGTTAAGTGTCTCACGCTGAGCGTGCCAGCCTTGTTCCCATTCAGAACGTGGAGCTTGTCTCCTGGCCCCCTAGGGCATTCTCTCCTGAGAGCTCTCCCCATTCAGCTTGGTCTCTGCACAAACACTCCCTAGAGGGGCCTCCTCTGCCTTCCCAGGTTATATAGCGATCCCTGCCCACCTTCCTTTGGCTTCGATTGGTAATTCTAACTCCCTGGTTGAAAGTCCTCAACCTCAACAAGAGGTATCCGCAGTCCCATTAATCAGCCAGCTGCAAGGGGGCAGGGCTCTGCACCCAGATTTTTTTTTTTTTTTTTCGAGACAGGGTTTCTCTGTGGCTTTGGAGCCTGTCCTGGAACTAGCTCTGTAGACCAGGCTGGTCTCGAACTCACAGAGATCCGCCTGCCTCTGCCTCCCGAGTGCTGGGATTAAAGGCGTGCGCCACCACCGCCCGGCTCTGCACCCAGATTTTGCAGAGTATCACTCCTTCTTTTTGCTACAGGGACTGACCATCACAGTGTGTGTGTGTGCACGCACACACGTGTGACTGTGTATGTGTGCATGTGTGTATATGTATGAATGTGTGTATACATGTGTGTCCGTGTGTGTATATATGTGTGTGCATTCATACACGTGCTTGTGCTTTTTGTGTGCTTAAACTGAAAACCACTCACTTAGAGTAGCTAATAAGGCGGTGTCATTTGGTGTGTTCAAATTGTTAAGCAGCCATAGATTTCCAAAGTCTTTCTATCGTACTACACAATCCCCTAGCCTTTTAGTGTCCGTTCCCCACTAGTCTCTCCTCCGGTACCTTGTGCCCTTCAAAATGTATCCTGTCCCTATGGAATTTATTGTTTTCACAGTCATAGCCATACATCATTTGTGTGTGGCCACAGTAAACAGTGTTGATTGACAACTGTGCAGCATCACTATATACTCCATAACATTCTAGTGTGAGAACCTATCACACTGTTTCGCAAGTTGTTTGACCGCTTGCGGCTAAAGTCACTATGAATGGTTAGCAGTTTACAATCCTATCAGCCCTGTAGCAGAGTTGGGTGGATTAGAGCGGTACCACTGGGGCAGCTGGTAGGCGCTGTCCAGAGGATTGTTAATGCACAGATCTTAGAGGAGAGCCTACTACTCGCTACCAACCAGCATGAGTGTTGACCACATTCTACAACTTATCCTTAGAGCCATAGATAAATATAGCTCTCGGTCCTCATCAACGATGCTTCTTTTTGCACCAGAGACCAATACAGAAAGCCACAAACGTCATTCTTTCAGATTGTTGCCCTCCTATTGGCCTGGAATGCTTCACTGTGGGTTTTAATTTGCATTTGCTTCGTGACTAAGGATTTTGGGCGTCCTTCTATGAACACCGAACATTTGTAGAATAGCTATTTGGACAGATGTCCATTTGAACAGCTGGAAAGTATTCTAATTAAGCGCCACTTTTTTATTGATGTTTATCGAGCTCTACATTTTTCTCTGCTCTCCTCCCTGCCACTCCCCTCCCCGTTCAACCCTCCCCCAAGGTCCCCATGCTCCCAGTTTACTCGGGAGATCTTGTCTTTTTCTACTTTCTTCCTCCCATGTAGATTAGATCTATGTAAGTCTCTCTTAGTGTCCTCATTGTTGTCTAAGTTCTCTGGGATTGTGGTTTGTAGGCTGGCTTTCTTTACTTTATGTTTAAAACCCATCTATAGGTGAGTACATGTTATAATTGTCTTTCTGTGTCTGGGTTACATTTCTAGCTCCATCCATTTTCCTGCAAAATTCAAGCTGTTGTTATTTTTTTCTGCTGTGTAGTACTCCATTGTGTAAATGTATCACATTTTCCTTATCCATTCTTCAGTCGAGGGGCATTTAGGTTGTTTCCAGGTTCTGGCTGTGACAAACAATGTTGCTATGAACATAGTTGAGCACATGTCCTGTGGCACGATTGAGCATCCTTTGGATATATACCCAAAGTGGTATTACTAGGTCTTGAGGAAGGTTGTTTCCTAATTTTCTGAGAAATCGTCACACTGACATCCAAAGGGGTTGCACCAGCTTGCATTCCCACCAGCAATGCAGAAGTGTTCCCTTTACCCCACCACCTCTCCAGCATAAGTTTTCATCAGTGTTTTTGATCTTGGCCATTCTTACAGGTCTAAGATGAAATCTCAGAGTTGTTTTGATTTGCATTTCTCTGGTGATGAAGGTTGTTGAACATTTCCTTAAGTGTCTTTCAGCCATTTTAGATTCCTCTGTTGAGAGTTCTACGTTTAGGTCTGTACTCCATTTTTTTTATTGGATTATATGATTTTTTTGTGTCCAATTTCTTGAGTTCTTTGTATATTTTGAAGATCAGACCTCTGTCTGATGTGGGGTTAGTGAAGATTTTTTCCCATCCTATAGGCTGTCATTTGTCTTGTTGATGGTGTCCTTTGCTTTACAGAAACTCTTCAGTTTCAGGTGGTCCCATTTATTAATTGTTTCTCTCAATGTCTATGCTGCTGGGGTTATAATTAGGAAGTGGTTCCCTGTGCCAATGCATTCAAGTGTACTTCACACTTTCTCTTCTATGAGGTTCAGTGTGGCTGGCTTTATGTTGAGGTCTTTGATCCATTTGGAGTTGAGTTTTGTGCATGGTAATAGATATGGGTCTATTTTCATTTTTCTTTACATGTTGATATCCAGTTATGCCAGCACCATTTGTTAAATATGCTTTCTTTTTTCCATTTGATATTTTTTGCTTCCTTGTCAAAAAATCAGGTATTCAAAAATACGTGCATTGATATCTGGGTCTTCTATTCGGTTCCACTGGTCCTCCTGTCTGTTCTTATGCCAATACCAGGCTGTTTTCAGTACTGTGGCTCTGTAGTAGAGTTTGAGGTCAGGGATTGTGATGCCTCTGGAAGTTCTTTTATTGCCCAGGATTGTTTTGGCTATCCTGGGTTTTTTGCTTTTCCATATGAAATTGAGTAGCACTCTTTCGAGGTCTTTGAAGAATTTTGCTGGGATTTTGATGGGCATTGCATTGAATCTGTTTAAGCGCCACTTTTTATAGCCTCAATAGCACTTCTTTAGCGAATGAATACATGATTCAAGATTCTTCCCGAGACTTGGATTTGTGACTTCACTATGGGTCAAACCCTGCTCCCTAGGAGTAACTTCCCTTCTACTTCAGCCTCCCTGAAAACTCGCTTAATCAACCCAGTAAACATGGCTGTCTCTGAATCACCGTTCCTCTCCTCTCCTCCCCTCCCCTTCCTTCAGTCTTCTCCTTTTCCCTTCTTCACCTTATTCTTCTTTTCTAAAATAAATTCAACCAAGGCGCACTCCTTTTATGAAGTCAGTATTACCCTGACAATAAAACCGATAAGCACAGTAATAGGGGAAAAAACAAACTCTCGTTTGAACATAGGTGAGAATTTTCTCAATAAATTGCTTTCAAACCAAATTCAAAAGTACATAAAAAAGATAATTTACTTGCAAACTAAATGCAAAAGCACAACAAAAAGATCAAGTACACTTCATTCTAAAATAATAATAATTATAATAATAATAGAACTGACAGAAGGGCTGAATGGCAAACAAGATGGTGCAGACTCGTCACTAAGAGGAAAGTCTGTTGTTACTACAATGGTGTTGTTGGAAACTAACCAAGTAAACAACACAATAAATGTACAGAAAGTGAAATCCTGTCTCTATGTTTCATCTCGTAGTTTCAGAACATCAGGGATGCAGGGAATGTTTCTAGAGTGGGGAAATGTGGTTGCATCTCACAGACAAAGATAAGAGTTGAAGATAAGATAGGGAGGAACTGGAACAAAGTCTTTAAATTCTGAAGAGAAATTATTTTAATCTAAAATTTGATAATCTGCCAGGTATGCTGGTTCACACCTTTAACCCAACATTCAAAAAACAGAGACCCGCAGATCTCTGTGAGTTCCAAGCCAGCCAGGGCTAGATAGTGAGATTTAGCTTTGTATTTTAAATTTGTTTTTAATTTTAAAAGAAAAAAAAATTGATACTCTATTTTCTTCTCAAGACAAGGTCTCCCTACATAGCTCCAGCTGTCCTGGAACTCAGTATAAACACCAGGCTGACCTTGAACTCGTAGATATCTGCCTGCCTCTGTCTCTCGAGTGCTGGATTAAAGGCATGTACCACTACACTGTTTAAAATTTGATAATCTTGGTCGACGTTCTGGTCTGGAACGTGGCGGCGCGGTCGCTGTGGGCGGTGCAGCGGCTGCAGCGCCTCCTGGCCTCGGGGCTTGTGTCAGAGAGCAGGGGATGGCTACACCCATTCAGCACTGCCACCCAAAGAACTGCTGGGGAAGACTGCAGTTCTGAGGACCCTCCTGACGTACTCGGTCCCTCCCTTGCTGAGCAAGCTTTAAGGCTAAAAGCTGTTAAACTGGAAAAAGAAGTCCAGGATTTAACACTGAGATACCAGAGAGCTGTCGCTGATTGTGAAAACATAAGGAGACGAACCCAGAGATGTGTAGAAGACGCCAAGATATTTGGAATCCAGAGCTTCTGTAAGGACTTGGTGGAGGTGGCAGACATTTTGGAGAAGACTGCCGAGTGCTTTTCAGAAGACACCAAACCTGAGGACCACAAGCTTACTCTGGAAAAGGTCTTTCAAGGACTGTCCCTTTTAGAAGCAAAGCTGAAGAGCGCGTTTGCCAAGCATGGCCTAGAGAAAATGACACCGATTGGTGACAAATATGACCCTCATGAGCATGAACTCATCTGTCACATGCCAGCAGCTGTAGGGGTACAGCCTGGCACTGTGTCATTAGTACGGTAAGATGGCTACAAGCTTCATGGCCGCACCATTAGACTTGCCCAAGTAGAAGTGGCAGTGGAGTCTCAGAGAAGGCTGTGAACAAGCCACCAGGAACTAAAACTCTCGCAGGTTCTGGCACCTGTGTCTCCTTTATTTATTAAGCTGGTTTGTATTATACATGAGGTCCTTCGTGTGCTCCACTTTGGATTTAGTCATATTGGCTTTACCTCTGCAGTATCTTATTGGTTTATGTGGCCTGTTTGGTCTCATCAAAAGTCCTGCCACTGGGCATTTGAACAATGTGACGAGTGTCCTATGGCCTTTTTCAAAATGTTTACAAAAATCATTTAAGTTGGTACTCTGATGACTGAATCCAAAATCCCTTAATTGTGTTTTCAACTAATTTCTGGAATTAGTGCAGCATTGTGTGTCTTATTTTTTATGGGAAAGGGAGATGGTAGGGATTGGTGTGACATTTAGGTACTTAGATTGACATAGCTTTACCCTTGTATAAATTTAGATCATTTGGGTTGACATATAGAGAGATTTTTTTATGTTTTTTTATTTCATTTTTTATTTAGTCATCTTTTTTACTTGTAATCCCTGCTAGGGGTCACACATTATTCCGTAGCCGCCCCTTTCTTGTTCCTTTTGGAAGGGCTAAAGGGTCTGTCGGGCCAGTCTTCCTTTTTTTTTGTTTATGAGGTGTGCTCTTTTACTAAACTGATCTCAAGTCCATGAACAGGTAAGCTCTTGACAACACAACCCACTCCCAGGGAGACCAAAAGCCTCCATAAATCTCAAGTTGGAGAGTCCAGCATGGGGGACCAAGCATAGTAGCTGACTGTTCAAAATTAAAAACAAAGTATTAGGGTGGATAATTTTTTGCAATACACAAAAGTAATGCTGCTGTCTCATCTCACTTGCATGCACTCGGATGACCTGGGCATCCTCCTTTCTAGATTAGGGTGGGGTGCTTCTTTGGGGAGGACAAGGGACTTCCTGTAGCAATAACAAAATGCAAAATCTTCAACCACATTGCAAAACTTTGGGGATGCGTATCCCAAATCAGCTGCTGTCACCTTTACCATTCCAGTTTTTAAATCCTGAATCAAAAGCACCAATATATATATATATATATTTATAATTGAGAAAAAGAAAAAAAATTTGATAATCTTAGAAATCAGCAGTCAGAACCGTAGATACTGCGGCGACTTTCAGACACACACACTTTCCTAGGAGCTGTCCAGGATGTGCTCTATGAAAACCAGGGCTACAGCTGAGAAGGGAGGACTGGTGTGCAGGACAAGGCTCCTGTCACTCAGCGAAGATAAACCAGAGGCTCACAGAAAGCCTGCAAGTGGAGATAAGAAAACATGTTTAAAACTACGTGCTTGAGGCTGGAGAGATGGCTCAGCGGCAGAAAAATGTCTGTTGCTCTTTCAGGTAACCCCATTTCAGTTCCCAACACTGGCATCCGGTGGCTCACAAGCACCTGTAACTCCAGCTCCAGAGCCCCTAATGCAAGGCTGCCTGCTACCCCAGGAATCCAGTACACAGGGGAGTCCACAGGAGAAGAGCAGAAAACAATGAGGAAGACCCTGACAGATAGGAGAGCAGCTGATGCTAAGGAGCGGCAAAGGAAGGGAGGGAGAGGAGAGAAACAAATCCTTCAATTTACCCTCACTTGTGAAAAGTCTGAGGGTAAATTAGGACAAGCAAGGAAAAGCAAGGCAACCAATTAGCTCCAAGAAAACAAAAGGAAAGTTCTGGAAAGGCTGTGTACTCGTGATGTACCGTTTCTGAGTCAAGAGCAGTGTATACAGTTACAATGATGTAATACTGATCTATTACAAAAAAGAGGGCACTGTAAGCATACTGAGAGCAGGGTAGATAAGTAGGAACAGACTAAATCTTCATCCACACAAAGAACACAACAGAGAACATCTAAAATTGGAAAATACAATTTTCAACATATCATGTTAGTGGGGTATGTGGGGGGGGCATAGTTGAAAGCAACTGAGTGATGCCAGGAGAAAATTAGGAGCCCTAGTTGTTTTCATTGTTTACTTAGAACCATTGGGTAAATGTGAACAACTGTGTTCATGATGCTAATACAAATGCTAAAATTAAATGTCAACAAACCTCAACACAAAATCAATGCTGTCTGTGGACTCACAGACACCATGGAAAAGTGGAAAGGCAGATGACAGCCTGAGAAAGGGTGTTAGCAAAACTTCTCTCACAAGAAGTACTTCATGAGACCAGCATGAGCACAAGACTAAGCTACTTTCACAAGATTTTGTTGTTGCAACAAACACCGGTGACACCCAGTTGAAAAAAAAAGAAAGATTTATTTGGGCTCACAGTTTGGGTAGTTTCAGTTCATGGTTGCAGGACCCATGATTTGTAGGCCTGCAGCAAGGTACAACTTCACGGTGGGTATGGAAAAGCAGAAATGTCTACCTTGAAGCAATCAGGAAACACAATTAGACACAGAGGAATAGGCCAGTACTGTGGGACAATGGCCTTGTACCCCTCAAATATTTGTCACTTGTATTGGTTTAATAATATGCTGATTGGCCAGTAACCAGGCAGGAAGTATAGATGGGGCAACCAGAATAGTAGAATTCTGGGAAGAAGAAGAAGAAGAAAGGCTCAGTCTGAAGTCCTCACCCAGATGCAGAGGAGGCAATATGAGAATACCTCACTGATAATAGGTACCAAGCCACATGACTAACAAAGACAAGAATTATGGGTTAATTTAAGATGTAAGAGTTAGGTAATAAGAAGCCTGGGCTAATAGGCCAACCAGTTTATAATTAATGTAGGTCTCTGTGTGTTTCTTTGGGACTGAACAACTGTGGGACTGGGCAGGACAGAAACCTCTGACAACAGGTCAGGATAAAATAGAACCTCCAGAACATGTATTCAGTGACCTATTCATCTGAGGTGGGTCCCATCAACTCACCTTCTAGCACCCATCACTGTGGTGCTGCCTCCTGAGAAACCATCCGTCAAAACATGAGCCTACAAGGGACATTTCATAATCAAACCATAACACAGACCAAAGGTAGAATAGGCCAAGTGGCACAAAGAGATGTCACTGGCCAGAATGGAACAACAAAAACAAAACAAAAAACCTAAAATAGGTACCAAGAACTGGGGTACTTGCAAATATTTCACTCATGGGAGTCCTCACAGAGCTTGGCAAGGAGGAACAATGGCACTCTCTCCATGTCACCCAAAAGAAGGCAGACATCACAAAGCTAGGCAACTTGCCCAGGGGCACTGGGCTTGAAGCAGGCACCCACCCTTCAGAATCACACTGCCTGAGTCCTCACTAGAGTCTCCAGGGGAAAAAGCCAGATGACCCCACTTTCCATCTTCACAGCTTTGCAAAATTCAGATGGGACAGGCAGATTAGAGCGGTACCTCTGGGGCAGACAGTAAGCACTGTCAAGAGGATTGGTAAACATTGTTAAAATCACTTCTAATGCGTGGATCTTAGAGGAGAGCCTACTGCATGTAACTAACCAGCATGATTGCTGACCATATTCTAAAACTTATCCTTAGAGCCACAAATACATGTAGCTCTCGGTTCTCATCAAAAAGCCTTCTTCTTTTTGCAGCAGAGACCCTCACAGAAAGTCATAAATGGTCAAAATTGAGATTGACTAATCATGGGATGCCCAACGGATATATCTCCAACCCAGCTGCTGCGCCAAAAGCTCAGGAACCGTCATGGAAGAAGAGACAGAAAGATCGTAAGAGCCAGAGGACCAGAACATCTGCTCTGAACTCGTGTTTCCTAGAAGTGAAGGGGAAGCTACACCCATGACACCTCAACAGCACAGCTGCCTAAGCAAGACTTGAACAACGACAGCACCAATAGACACGCTAACTTAGAAGGGAGAAAGCGCCTTGGGGCCACACCCCTATACAAACAACCACAGGCGACTAATGGCTGCTGAGAGAGGGAGATCTAGTCTTTCTGGGGGTGAGTAGTATAGAAGTCCTTCTGTATTTGTGTTGCTTTTATTGGTTAATCAATAAAGAAACAGTCTTGGGCCTACACAGGTCAGAATAGAGGTAGGCAGGAAAAACTAAACTGAATGCTGGGAGAAAGAAGGAGGAGTCAGGGAGATGCCATGTAGCCACCAGAGGGGAAAGCGACTAGCTGGAACCTTGCCAGTAGGCCAGGAACCTTGTGGTAAAATATAAACTAATGGAAATGGTTTATTTAATAATCACTTAAGCATATTGATTATTGATTTGCATATTGCTTAAGTGATAGGCCAAGCGGTGACTTAAATAATATAGTTTCTGTGTGATTGTTTCAGGAGTCTGGGTGGCCAGGAAATGAATGAGTGGTCTCCTACAACAGATGAGTCCCCAGCTGGTTATCCAGTACCAACTAGTTACCCTGAACCCATATCCATACCTGTAGCACTAAAAGGACTCAGTAGGATGTATTTCTGTATTTGTATATTCATATATGTGTGTGTGTAACAATAATAAGTAAAAAGAGACTACCAATTTGAGAGAGGGTGAGGGGGCATATGTGAGAGGTTGGAGATGGGACAAGGGAGGGACTGGAGGGAGGAAAAGGAATGGGGAAATTATGTAATTATATTTCAATTAAAATTTTTTTTTCAAATATAAAAGTACTTGTCTTAGGTTCTCTATTGCTGTGAACAGACACTATGACCATAGCAACTCTTTTTTTAAAAAAAAAAAACAGATTTGTTTATTTATTTATTTATTTATTATGTATACAATATTCTGTGTGCATATCTGCAGGCCAGAAGAGGGCACCAGACCTCTTTACAGATGGTTGTGAGCCACCATGTGGTTGCCGGGAATTGAACTCAGGACCTTTGGAAGAGCAGACAATGCTCTTAACCACTGAGCCATCTCTCCAGCCCCCATAGCAACTCTTATAAAGAAAAACATTTAATTAGGTAGCTTACAGTTCAGAAGTTCAGTCCATTAACATTATGGTGGGACATGGCATCATGCAAGTAAACATGGTAGCTGAGAATTCTATATCTTACAGGCAACAGGAAGTGGTCTGTCTCATTGGGCATGGCTTGAACATATATGAGACCTCAAAGCCTCCTCCACAGTGACACACATCCTCCATAAGACCACACCTACTCTAGCAAGGCCACTCCTCCTAAGAGTGCCACTCCCTTTGGGTGCCATTTTCTTTTAAATCACCAGTCCTTTAAACTCTCTGGTGTTTATTTTTCCTATAAACTATGCTGTTGCATGGGAGGAGCAATTTGAATTCCCAATTGGCAGCTGTTTAACTCCTCCCTGATGTCCTGGCTACTTGGAACAAAGGATTCTCAGTCAGGCAGCCAATCGAATTACTTGTAAGCCCACAGTGGACTGTTTTGAATAGTCCATTGACACTCTGAGGAAGCTGCATAACAACCACAGCTGCTTGCTGCTGAAGCACAGTCCTTGCTTCTAAAGGTGCAGCCACAGCCACAGCTGGCTCAAACAGTAGCTCTGAACTGATAGCTGTCACAAAACTAGGTGAATGCTAAAGGAACCTGCAACTTTTCCCACCCAGATCGGAGGGGACGCACACCCTCTAGTAGCCTAGCAGTGACTGTTCTGACTGGTCGATCCATAAGGGACCAATGTCATGATGTGTGTACATATACAGTCCTTCATTTGCATAAAGCTCTGCTGCGATTGACTATATAGCCAGGTTCGTTGGGATTGCTTTGTGATCTGAGACACAACTTCCTGGGTT